GCCTCGCTTTCTAAGCCATACTGAACAGCTTCTGTGGTACATTCTGTAATGCTTTCCTCTCAACACGACGTGGCCATATTCTCGTGAAACAACGAAGTAATCGTAAAGCTGAATTAAAATTCATCTCAGGTAAATTACGGAGATTGCTCGACCATTCAAGGGCTGAAATCCTTACCATCGTTGCTTCGTATTTGAAGTCGCTCTGGTTTGGTTCTAGGTCCTGGACGTCTGTAAGAAGTTCTCGGTTTTCTCCACTACTCGATGGAAGGACGTGTCACATCAGCAAAGCATAAACTTTCGACAAGTAAGTCGGCTCTAAATCCGCCCGTCGATTTTGAATAAGATTTTAATTCTCCCTGAGATCTTTTGCTTCGGGTTTCTGGATGTCTTCTAATGACGAAATTTTCATATTGTTGTGTTAAAAAACCATTTTGAAGGGAGAAATCGCATTGAAAAGTGCATTAGAACGTGAAATGTCGACAGACCAGCTGTTTGAAAGAACAGCCGGGTCAACGCCAGCCTGGGTTTTGTGTGTGCACGGTTACTAATCCAATATGGCGCCGGGAACTTTAAAAAGGTATATTCTGTTGTACACCAGGTGCATGCAGGTCAACTGAACAGGTCATTGTCGATACATTAAAATTCTAACATGGTTCCGAAGCTAGGAGAAATAAAACAAAAGAAATTAATTATTTATCTCTCAACCTCAATGTGATTTATATTGTTTTATTCCTCCAAGCCTTGGAACAACAACACACTTGATACTTGATACTTGATACCGATCAAACAATCAGCGTTTGACTGCAAAAGCCAAAACAGGAACTCTGGAGTCAGGGTTAGCCTTGCAACAATAACACACTTGATACTTCCGATCAAACAATCAATCTTTGACTGCCAAACTCTGGGTTCAGGGTCCACTAATAGCAGTTGGACAAGGCAGACAAAAACAGGAACTTGAATCTCATCGTTGTAACTAAGACCCAAATAACTACGCACTTCAAAATCAAATCTCATCCGATAGCAAAGAGGACTTGTGAAAGAAAATTTGCTGGAGAAAAATTCACCACTTAAAATCCTTCAAAGTTTTGTAGATATTGAGTATCTTTGTCCGATTTGAGAATTGCGCCAGTGCAATTTTTTCTCTCGCAAGTTTGTTTGAAAGTACATACACTGGAATGGAAATTGGATTTATATGTCGACGAAAATCTATTATATCATTGCACCGGCTTCATTGCCGAGAAAATATTTTCTAGTGATCAGGTATCCAAAGATCATCATGGCTGAACCTGGAATTTTCGCATCATAAAGAGCGGAACGCTTTATATTTCGACGTACCTCTTATGTAACCGATAGCAACCACGTAGACGTATTTTCAAACAGAAACTTGAAATTCTCCGCAATCGGTCCATGGACGTCATCAATTTATTGAGCGGTCAAGTGCACCGAACCTTATCACCCAGTGACTTTTGATAAAGTGTACTACAAGGTATTGTTTACATTTCTTGTCGCAGTGTCTGCAACGACAATGTTCGTGTCACATTTGTTTACAAGACAGTCGCTGCAAATCAGCCACAATTTTTTAACATGAAAATTTAAATAATCTACTCAAATATTTAAACACCTGGCCACGTTTTTCTTTCTTTCTTAGGCGCTCCAAAACTGCTTAATAGCTTTATTTTTTTCCCCTATTGTTGGTCACCGCGACTAGCTAAGTGAGGAGATGAAGACACCGATGTTGAGTATCATAAAAAGTCTGGCAGTTCAGTCCAATGTTTTTGTTAATTGATTAAACTTCAACTTATCACATATAAGGTTAACAGTACCATGCTTAAGTTGAGCCATTGCGCCAGTTAAGCAGGAGACGTAGGCCATTGAAAATGAAGGCGGGAAAACTAAAATTTATCTCCACAACACTGCTACACTACGCGGAGCCACCCTGGAATGCTGGACAGCATCGGCAGATTCTAGTTAGATAGGTGGATTTGAACAAACTGAAAATGCATGAAAGGCGCTTCAAACCTCAATGACGTGAAAGACTGTCTACGCAACAATCAAGTATTAGCATTAATTATATTCAATTGTTATAAATTTGCCTACGTTGTATTTATTTTCATGCATGCTTGGCTTCATTTAGCCCACAGAACTCTCCTTCAGACCACTAAGGAAGGAAGGGACCAAAACTAAACCTTACGCCTCGCGACTTCATAGAAGGAGTCTCGTTGTTTTCAAGTTTATTCAATTATCATGTTTTAGCTGGTACTTTTTATTCAGATCAGTCTCAGTAACACTTCCAGTTTGACTAGTCAAGACAGGTAATCTCAACATTTTCCCTCTGAACTATCAAGGAACTAGGCCAATGGCGCTTGAATAAGGATCCTTTGTTGGGTAGTCTTTCCAAATTGCCCTTCACTATGTGTTCTTTCAGCCTTAAGTACGTGAGAAAATGATACATTGATATGCTCGCGGTTCTTTTGTACTAAACATTGGACTTTCACCAACAAGTTACAATCTTGTTAACTTAATTTTTTCTTAATGATTCATCCTAGATTTTTGTTGCAATTTTCGGTGATGTTCTATAAACCCAAACACATTTTCATTGCTTTAGTATTCAGGCGTCGGCTGTAGTGTGTGATTTTTTTATTTTCCTCATGGCCCAGTTTCAGATCGTTTGAATCTGGTTTCTTCAACACATTTTCCTGAGGCGAAATATATTTTAATAAAGCTTAGCAGTATTTCTCTACCGGAATGGCTTAAAAAATAGACGTATTGTTCGCAGCCTAAGCAAAAAGCACGTGAACATGCACAAGACCTCCAGTTCACTTTTTCTCTACTCAGATGCGTAAAACATGCACGAAAAGAGCTGTTTCATACACAAATGCGATCTAGGAATCTACTTCCATGGTTTATGAGGGTAGACAATCTTAAAATTCAATATACAAATTGGAGGAAGTTGAAAAAGCCTCTTTTTTTAAGCTTCAAGGGGGTAAACTCCTTGATATGCATCGATGATCTTAAATTGGTGTAACAGTAAATTTTTCGAAGACACCTAGCCATTAACGGATAACAACAACTTTATTCGCACTATACAAATACAGTTACAAGTTTCAAATTCCTACATTATTGTAGGAATCCGAGACAAATTCCAGACTCAACTAGACCGGCTTTCCTTTTACCATCATGAAGACACGAGTAAAAAAACAGCAGTACCCCCATTCGAGTGATTCACAAGAACTGACATAAAAATGATGTTAGTCTCATCGGTCAATAAGTAGCATCCTCAAGGTAACCTATCGCAGAGATGAATGTCAACTCTGGATGAATGCTTAGAAGCCTCTTCCGGATAAAGAGCTAAAAGGGGAGTTTTCAGCAACCATTTCATAATCTTAATAAGCAAACGACTTTAAACAATCTCACGAAAAGATGCATCGTTCTGGAACGTCGCCGCTGATCTAGGTGATGAATATAATACATAGGAAGACTTAACCGGCCAGTTTATCTCTTAGGTTGTTTTGGGTGACCAGCTACTGTCTCTTTTGTTGATAAACTTGTAACTGTATTTGTATAGTGCGAATAAAGTTGTTGTTATCCGTTCAGGGTAGACATTACACGGCCTTGTTATTTCTTCGCATAAGTTTCTATTGAAAAATTTATGAGAACCTTACCTATTTGCTGCACTTTTGCAGTAGGAAGAACTACTATGATCTCGTTAGTGTATCAGCTATTTTAACCATTCAACTTTAAGAAATGATTGAGGTGTAACTTCTCACAATGTCAATACATCAACCAGCATCTTATCATTTTTTTTTCACTTTTTTTTCCTCTCTATTTTTTTTTTCTTTCTTAACGAGGAAATATTTAACAGCTAAAAGAGAGATCTTGGGAGTTCAAGGATGCTCAAATGAGTCTAGAATTTGATCGCTTTTATCCAAATTAGAAGTCCATTTAATGGAAGGGCACTCGAATAGCACTTCAACACAAAAGTGTTAATAATTGGACCGCCAAGAAACACTCAAACGTCACATTAGGCCTTAGAAGCTGGAACCTTCTAAAATTTTTACGTTGGGACGTGTAAAGCCCACGTAACACGCCCAAGATTAATATTTCACTATATAGTTTAAACCCATGTCATGCAAGTCGTGATTATGCCTTAGCAGCTGAGGCAAACACACCTGACCGCAAATATAAAGCTTCTTAGCTGCTTGACTAGATCTGTTCGACAGGAGCACGTCAGGCAGCCGCGGCACTGTGTTACGAGTTATTAACTTCATAAGGTGTTTCTCAGCAATAACAAATCTTCCGTTAGAAGGCCACGTGGTGATGCAGCTTTATCTGTTTTCCTTTTAGCTGCAACCTCCGACATTGTTAAGAATGAAAGAACCATTTGACCACTCAAAAATTCATCACATAAAGAAGGTGTCCCGGCATTTTTATTCTTCTCCACGCACACCGACAACAACGGAGACAACTCCTACACCAGTTCGTAACATTTCGCCTTCATTACCACCATAATGACAACCTCCTACGGTTTTCCGCACTTCGTGAAAATCCTCAATCATACTTTGGATCTTTCGTGTTCAGAGATGGCATTGCTGTACAAAGAGGACGCCCTCGGCAATCAAAATCCTTAGACTTTGTAACTTATTGATTAGAAAATGTCGCTGACATAAAAAAATTTGTGGAATTACATTTTAAATCAGTGACTCTTGACTTCCGTTCAAGAAAGGGTAGAAGTCTAGAAAAACATAAACGTAGCAGTCGTAGGTTTTTAAAAATCTAACAGGATGCGCCTCGTGAATATTTGATTAACGAAACTGATGAGTATCAAAATGAAAAAACTTCCATAATAGACTCAAGCCTCTGTGGTCATTGGGGGCCGCAGTGTTGCACTCCTACGTGTTACAGTAACGTTGTAAAATAGTTATTCGTTAACCGCACTCCCATAGAAAAAAAGAAAACAAACCAAAAAGGTGAAATATTTGAAACAAAAACTGCTTAAAACCATAGAGGTATTAAACCATTTGAGTGCTAAGACGTCACAGGACGGAAGGCATCAATGGAGTCTTTTATCAGGGCTGTTAAGCAAACAACGTCGAAAAGTTCGCACTCATTTGATTATCGTATCTTTTTCTGGTTGGGAAAAATACGTAATTTATTGTAACAAATCCGAGTTAAAACAAAGACGTCGAACAATTAACTCAGCAAAAACAGGATCTCTCTTGCAGCAGCTTAAGGAAAATTCATTTTCTGGGAGGAGGTGATAATAGGTCATCACCTCTTATCCTAAATTGAGTTCCTCGAATTAATTTTTCTAAAGGAAATTGCCCATTGCGGCTTTGAAGTTCTGAAAAGAGTGATAATAAAGCTATCAGGCGTTTCCTTATTAATGACAGCTAATTAACCAGCGAGATCTTTGTCAAAGCGGCTGAACTCGTTATTACGGCGGCCGAAAACATATAAATTTCCTCCACCGTTCTTCCATTTCAAGCGTTACCTTACGGATACAAAGTTGAAAACAAAGATCAGGTAAGACCAGTGTTATTATGACCGTAATCTGTCTATTGTAGGGAATATTAAGTGCTTTTGAAGAACGTGCGCTCCACACGAAATTTTAATCAACTAGAAGACAAGGAGCATATCCCTACACGTCGATTTTGCGACAGACTTCGCTAAGTAGTAAAAGCAAATTGAGATAATCTCGTAAGAATCGTTTTAATTTTGCTTTCTTTTTTTGAAAATCGTCTCATATCAGTGGTGGACCTTTCTAGTACTTGACAATAATATATTCTTGATAAGGATCATGAGAATAATGAAAACTTTTAAGAAGGAAAACAGCTCTAATCGCAATTTTGTAGCGCCAAACAACACAGCTACATGGGAAAAAAAGAAGAAAAGCTTTCCTTAGTCTTCACATTAACCATTTTGAATTAACAACGAACGAAACGCTAAAAAGATGCTTTGTATATAGCTAGTTCACAATTTTGGGATTTTTTTTTCAATTTTTTTAAAATTTTTAATTTTCGTCTTTTTTTACGTTCGAATTGATTTTTGATCCCATAATCAGATAGGCATTTATAAAATGGAGTGCATATGTAATAATTATCTATTTTTTCACTTGCATAAGTTCAGGTAGAGATATTTCCAATTATTAGCGCCCTATTCAAATCAGTGAAATGGTTATATGGTTATATAAAGAATAGTTATTACCTATCTTAGAGACAAAGGGTCTTCAATCGACATTGATGAAAACGATCGCTAGCGATGGTTCAAAACAACTCGCATTCGTCTTGCAAAAACACTTTGCGTAATGTTGAAACCAATTGAAGGCTGCTGAAAAAAAACTTGAAAACCAAATTAGTGGGCTTGGTTGCAAATTAAACTTTGATTTGCAGTCGAGACTGGCGAAGTGCTTGGTTGGTCACAAGGTTCTTAAGTAAACACACGACTGTTCTAGAGTGACACACCCAGAACCGTGTGGCAGTGAACCGTGTCAGTCCACTAAAACACCTTCACTGTTTCTTGTCTTCTTTACAGTAATTCAGACAAGCGTTATCAATGAAGAATATCACGTGGCGTATGACCATTTTGGTTTCCAGTCTTCTCATAATTGCAACAGGCTCACGGCAGACTGATCATGGTGAGTAACCATGCAAAGAGCTGCTTCTTTTAATTCAAATGAGAACATTACAGCAGCCTGCCAACTGTCAATGGTTATAAAAGGGTTTTAACAACGAGACCCTGTTGTGAAAACAATTCAAAGTGTTCTGGCTACTGGAAACAACAATTAGCGTGACAATCTACATGTAAGGGTTTCTATGCAAAATTATAAAAAGAAAATTTAACATTATTTTTGTTTTCTGTTTATCGTCTTCACAGTCATTCACAAAACGTCACCACAAAGTAACAATCAACATGCTCATTGGTCCTCGCTCAAGCAAGATATAGGCTTTTAATAAAAATATCCAGAGTTAAAATACCAATTTTATCTTTTAGTTCCTGCAGATTTCTCAGTTAATAAGTTGGGAAAAGTTTGGGGTTACATCAACATAACACCACGTGCCTGATACGTTCATCTATCGTCGTTTTCTTTTAGCTGCATAACATACATATATTTTGAAAATTCACTTCGAGGAGTTCGATGGCTATGGCTTCTGCCTAGCTTTGGTACAGACCATATGTATGACTTTTTCTTATTGAACTCGGACTTTGTCGTAGACTGATCAAAGCTGTTATTACTTGCAGAATCAAATGCTGGGGAGAAGATCGCAATTCGTGTTTTCAACCACGACTATCGAGCAACTGTGAATGATGTCCTCAGAAAACTGGAGACTGCACAACTCCAACGCAGGGGTTTCACCAGAACAGTCATCAACGAAACTGTCACAACAGCAGATGAAAGACCAGTTACTTCCACGGTACTTCACTTTTACAAAAAAATTCCTTGCAGGCAGTTGATGTTTGTTGAGGAAGAAGTGCGAAGACTTTGGCCCGAGGCCTGGGGAGAGGATGTTTCTAGACGCGTTGTCTCCGCCGCTTCGCGTGCGATGCTTTTTAGCGGGAAAATGTGCACGGCTGGCATAGAGGTTCATTTCCCGCCACGCGGAGGTTGTGCTGCGAAGAAGGAGAAACGAAGCAGTAAACGAAAGTGTGAAGATTGGTGTTTATTTTGCTTTAGTGCTAATGCCGAAAATTAACACAATAACAATTTATACTTATTTTTGCAATTTAAATTTTAAAGTTTTTGTTGCAGTTTATGCGAAGGTACACTTAAAATAAAAATCTTTAGAGTGACGTATCCATACTGATGAAAACATTTCGTTGACGACGAAATGTTAGGTTTAATATGAGAACATTCGAACAATTATCAGCTAACTAATAAAAAGTGTAAAATATAGGAATAAAAATAAATAAATATATAAAAATTGGAACGGACTAGAATCTTGAGAAAATAGAGAAGAAAACTTCCAATATTCATTGAAACCATGAAAACAAGAATCTCTAGTATTTAGGGACTGAGAAAAATCTTGAAAACAAAGAAATATTGACTATCAGTATCTACCCAAGAAACTAAGAACGAAAGTCTGGAAACTGGGGAACCTACCTTGTAGCAAATAATTTTGGAAAAGGGGGTCTTAGTCACTTTTGGGTAACACAAAGGAAGTTGTTGGATTGGCAGCTATGAGAGGTATCATTGTTTCACTTTCAGGCTACAGAACTGAGTTATGACTTGGAAAAAAAAAAAAAAACTGTCTTGCAGTTCCTTACAGTCTTGGTGCAGCAAAAAAACAGGGACATTTCATGGTTGCAAGGAAGTTGGTATCATTAGTTATAGACGGATGGGATTCCTCCTCCTAAGAGAATCTCTCTAAACAATTTTCAGCAACAGAGGTACCAGGTCCCCCAGGGGTTCATGTTACTTATAGCTCACAAGTTTGCATAACTGCTTCAGTGGACAAAGAGGGATGATCTAAAGAAAACCTACACTGAATATGGGAAGTTGAAACTGTTAGTTTCATTGATTAATTAAGCCAAGTCATGTACCTCTCTCTTGAAGTCCAACCACTGCCAGCTGCAACACTTTTCTGTCCTGCTTTTGTCAGCTGTGGTGGCTTTTGACTTTGTTGCCAGCATATACAGTGTAAAATACAAAGTACAGCGACACAAGAACAGCAAGGATGACAAGTAGATATAACACAACAATCTATTAAAGGGGAGACAATGAAATAAACTGAAGCTACAAAATTCCTGTGCAAGCTAAAGAAAAATGCAAGGTTGGCTTGTATATATTTGGGCACATGTCAGTGGGGAGAGGATCTGTAATAGCAGAGGGTCTTTTATTGGAATACTGTACATGTAGAGTGAACTCTGACCTTTTGACCCAAACTCAGTAGCTAATCATGGGACACATCCCATGGAACCCACGACATGAGGATAAGAGGGAACCTTATATGTCAAAGAATTGTCTATGGCTAATTGTCAACAACATTTGTATTATATAGTAAAGTTCACCCCTGATGAAGGCACTAGACAGGAGTGTTGAAATGTTGAGTCTGTGAATTGTAACATCTTTGGTTACATTCATTAGATCTGTAAACCAGAGTACCATCAAATCATGTCTAACATTTGGATTGTTACCAAAAAAGGAACAATAAAAACATCAAAAGTGTAAAATTAATAAAAACGATATTGATAGCAATGATAATAATAACAATAACATCTTCACCATGACATTCATTGTGCCATTCCATTGATGGTGCTAGCAATAGGTTAAATGAAAAATATCATAATTTTCAAGAGTTCAAGCTACAAGAAAATGTTGATGGGCCTGATTTTCAGGCTAATTAATTGGATTGAATCTTTCAATAATCTCAACCACTGAATTAATTATAATAGGTTTTCCAAAAAAGTGTTATTGACATAGAAAAATCATTCAACATAACGCAGGTCTATTCAAATTTATTTCAATAATTTATTGATATCATTATTGACTGTCAGCATTATCATTATTATAACCAAAATTGAATCAGGGCAAAAAATTGAGAGTCTAGGGCTTTAGGGCAATATTCTTGTCTCCCACAAGTACATAGGTGTTCATGGCCACCAAAAAATACAGAGTTAGGATCACCATATGGAAATCTAATGAGGAAACTGCTTCTTCATGCCAAGGTAAGCAGCTTCCTGACAACCAACTTCAGCACGCTGTATATAAAATTTTTAAATATTTTGAAGCCTTTTCAATTCATATACAAAATGCAAGGGAAAGAATATATTCACCTGTATTGTTCCCCTGTGATTCCTAGTCTGAGCTTTGTCACGAATAGATAGTGTCTTCTTCTTACTCCGGCCTTTAAACTCTTGTTTTCCTGGTTTAAAATAACAAAAAAGTTAAAAATTTACAAAAAATTGAGACAAATGACCATATTAAAAATACCAACTAAAACAGTTTCTTTCAATTATACTCATTACTAAAATAAACTACAAATTATTGTCAACAAGACCATTCTCTCATTCACTTTTAGGAAAAGAAAACAAGCAAACAAACACATTTGCAAAGAGGCCAATTTGAGCATTTACAAACAGTGCACCTACAAAGCTAATTGAGACTTTAAACACTGTCTTTGCAACTTGATGAATTTCCTAATCAGGTTTGTCAGTTCTACCATAATCAAGTTCATAAGCTAAATGTCTACACCAAGAGGCATTGTATGATCCAATCTTGGAGGCCTTTAAATTCAAAGACTAATATAACCAGGAGATTTAAATTATTCTAAAAGCAAAGTAGCCGGCATGAGAAAACCTGTACTATAATGTAGAAAATGCAAATAGTATATATATATTTTCTGTTGAGGAACAGACGATATACCAACATGTTAGTAGCTCTATAATGGTTTTTCAGGGAGGAAAGGACTCATTTGAGCCCACTAAGAGTACAAGGAAGCTTCACTCAGAATACATTTATTTTGAGTTCTTTTGCTCTAAAACTTTATGGCCCATAGGCATTCTTAAACTTGCCATAAATATTGAATTAGAATTATCCTTTAATTTTTCATATCAAAGGGATGTGACAAAGGAATATTGACAAATAAATACTTGGAAATACAACACTAATCAAAAATTCCTAGAAATTCAAAGGTTGAACCAGTGAACACTATCCATTCAATAACTTCCTATCAGATGAATAGTGCAGTACATTTTGTTAATACTTATCCACTGGATAGCCATTTATCAGTTTGATAGTAATATCTGCTCTTTAAACAACTAGGTAAACAGAATATGAATCCTTAAACAAAGAATTATCAGTATCCATTACCTCCTAAGATCTTATTAGTATTCCTCCTTTCTAAGTGCCATGCATTTCGTTAACACTAAGTTTAGTAAATTTGGTGTTATAGCAAGGTATATTACCCTCGATACTCTTTTTAACTGAACATTTCTCAATTCCCATGAACTGCCTACTAAATAATGAATCACAGTTATGAATAAATTTTATTCAATGTGTGTTATGATATAAACACGTAAATCAACCAAAAAAATAATAAATCTGCATATGTTGGATGGGAGCTTCTAACGGTCCCCAGTCCTGTGCGCTAAGGTCCTGTCTGGGAATCAATTTTCCAAAGAACATGGTACTAACCCCAGCTTATGCAGAAACGCCAAATGCGGCCAACATTTGTGTCCAGTTTTCATTTAGTAAAAACTGACCTTGAAATGAGCGAGAACTAAGAAACTCAGAGGAAATAAATATGGTTCAGTGGACTACAGCATGTAATATTCTCATTAGACGAAAATTCTCTGGAGTGACCACCGCGCCACCGTGTCTGCTATCGACGAGGAAGAAGTATATATAGAGGGCTTACGTACCACTAAACAGTCGTTGAAAAAAATCATGCAAAAGAGGAAAAAAGCCTCACCAATTGTCTTTCTGAATTTTTCTACATCAGATCTTCCCTCGGTGTCTTTGCGCCCCATTAGATGGACCTGCACGCTCGAATAAAATCGGCGTTGATTTCCACTGTACCTTCTACGGCTACACTAAATGCACCTTTATTTATGTTACATGACGTGTCAGTGTCATTCCCAGACTTCAAAGCGGGAGAATTAATTCTTCGGGAATCCAATATTAGTGGAGAGCCATGCTCTCCCTGCGGTCTCCAGCTGTCGCTGAGTTGGAATTGACAGGTGCGTAACAACAAACAAGAAGAGAGTCAAAGAGCTTTACGAATTGACAGTGGATGAAATTACAGTATTTAGCAGCTAGAAGAAACATCTCTCTGGTTTCCCTTTGTGTATTCTGCCTCTTTTGATAGCATTCGTCGCTGCACTGTGGCTGCTGATGATAGGCGTTCTGACTATGTGGTTCTACCATTTCGTTTTTTAACATTTTCTTCAAATGTTCTGTCTTAATATTCTCAAAGTGGCTGGATTAGATCGAAATACTACGATCTAAATATTTTTTCTGGAGTGAAAAGAAGGTGCACACTCGCTGACGTCACAGGCGAGTGTCTCAGTCCGAGACTCCAGTAAAATTAAGCGGTAAATGTGTGTCTTTGAGGGGAGGAGTTAAAAGCAGGCCGGAGGAAGGCGGGGATATTTCTTAATCTGCCTGTTTATTACATCTTTCAAACAATTAGCTAGAAATGGAAAATGTCCATGTGATAAGCCCTCGAAGCGCTAAAGGACAGACAATTATAATGAACTGTCATCTGTAAAACTGCCCCCAACCGGGACAAATAAGCAATGAAAGAACAGAGAGGTGGTGCATGTGAAAAGAATTCCAGTTTGAATTTGTCGGGCTTCAAGACTGAAGTATTGCACATGTAAATGATAAAGGATCTATTGCCCTGAACCACGCAAGCTACTTTACTATTGAATACGACAACAAGCTTTTAGAGCAGCGTGCTAATCAGACTAAGTATTCTCACTCGTTCTTCTCCTCCCTTTTTTGCGTAAACTTCAAAAGTAGCCCTTCCATAATCGATCGTTACTCAAGACTGTGGCATATCCCTGTGGGGGCATAAGGAATTACCACCACTCTGATTCGGCTTTTCTTGTGTTTTAATGCGTTGCAATATGTATACCTGTAACAAAATGCTCAGCTTTAGTGAGCTGTATCCTTTATTAGTGACAAAATAAATTAAATGAGTGCCTTTGGTTTTCCTGAAATGAGGTGAGACATCAGCGTCTGAAAATTTGAACGTGATAGAAGCAACCGTACCAATGACCAATAATTGCATTTTCTTTTCGAGTTATCAGCGGTAGCCTCCAATGATTAGATTTTTCGCATTGCCTTCGTCATCTTTGAAGAATCGCAAAAGGAACCGAAGGAAAAGAGCAGATCTTCAGACTTGAGGCGCAGTGAGTGAATCGCACGACACTTCAAAGAGATGTTCCGGATGTGAAAAATAATGAACACTTACAGTTTCGGCAAAGTTTCGTTTACATTGAAAATCTATGAACGCGCAGTTACACGCACCTGCGATTGTTAAGCATCAAAGTAAAACTATTTAGAGTCTATTTAACTTTCTTAGTTTGTTTAATGTTTGCTGATACGTTTAGTTTATACACGCTTGTGAGTTTGTTGCCATTCGGGTATGGAGGTCTAAAGATTTTTAGTACATACAATGGTCCCAAGAAAAATAGGGATGCTGCCTATACGGTGCACATCCGTTTACAGCCCAAGTGCCATGAATCATCCTTTCGCCATACGATGAAAGTGAGGGAGGCAGCTCACAAAAATTGCAGTGGAAGACTTGGTTGGGTGCCGAAAAATGATCATTTTCGAAGGGTAGATATCCCCTTTGCATTACAATCTGTGGAGTCGGAGCTGGCGGGCGTCTTGTAAAATCCCCTCGACTAAAATTGGGCAAGAATTTGGGATGAATCCCCCAGTAACATCCACCCTTGTTGTAAGCAACTTCACCCCGCTGAAAACATTCCTGAAGCGACAGATTATGGCGGACTGTGTTCTTCCATCGCACTCTGTTTTCGGTGAATTCGGGATAGTTGTGTTGAATGAAGCTGTAGATCTCGGACAAGGTTCTCTGTGTTCTTGGTGAGCTGAGAATGGCGTTGGCAATAACCTCAACGTAGGACAAACGACAAGAGTTTCCCTTTCCACGCCTTTCCTTCTTCGTTTGAAGGTGAGAAACCTTTTTTTCCTCGCCTGATACACCAGTTGACTTTGGAGCAATTTCTCTCTGATTCCGTTTCTGTGCACACTTCATGATTCCTTAACGTTGCACTCTCAACTGGAAAAGTTCAATCTTCCAATAACACAGAATACCCCTGCACTTTGGACAAAAAACAAAGCCGTACCGCAGTGTCATTTACCCTGTCAGCCATTTATCATCCCGTTAATAACATTTTCGCTTTTAACAAAAAGTCGGCCCAGTTGAACAATGGAAAATATTAAAAATTAAAGATGCCTTTCTGTAATTGCCTTTTAGCTATAATAACAAAGCTCATTAATTTTGCATACCTCTGTTTAAAAACTTTCTTTTTTTTGTAACGTTTTATAGCAAACTACGTATGTTGGGACTAAATACAGTGTCATTCGATTTTTTTTAAACAATGACAGCAACTGACATGCTGGGAGATTTAAGCCGCTCAGAACGCTGACTATTTAGCCGGTACATAACCTTCGTCGTCAATCCCCGTAAACCTTTTAACCGCCAGGTGTCCATAACGCTATTATTATGGAAAATATTGAAGCTTTTTAAGAACGGCGAAAACAACCTGTAACGTGTCAACGTGCTGAAATCCTAATAGGAATATAGGGTTACGGTTTGTCAGGGGTGACTTTCCAATGTCCTGTGTTATTTCATTAGCTGTAGGCTAAAATTGACACATGGTATGAAAAACTTGTGTCCGTGATAAAAGCTGAACCAAATTTAATACCTTGAGCATGAAGTTTTCTTTAAAAGGCTAGTCGTTTATACACTATCCATGTGTTTTGTTTGTTTGTTTGTTTTATTTCTTCGAACCCAGAAAAATGACCGCATGTCAACGTGCGTGGCACTGCCCAGTACCAAACTGATTTAAGCATCAAGAAGGCCGTCCCGTAGGCGAACTGAGAATTTTATCCTTAAAATCTTTACATCGAGATCCCATGACATATATATAGTTCGGACATAATCCAAAAGGACTATATACAGGTACGTAAACGTCCCCGAGTCGTGCTGATTAAGACGTTTGACGTACACTCGAACTATGAATCCTTAGCATACCTTTCATTACATCTATGAAAAAATAGAAGGTCGTGATTGCAAGTCATTCATACCAGTTCCTCAAAGAGGTATCCCTTAAATCTGACACTTCCAACTGTTATCCGAAAATAACAGTGATCTTAAATAATAATAACAATAATAATAATAACAATAAACTTTCCCAAAAAACTGGCTTTCTCAACCGTCCTGTTTCATTCATTCTTCTCTTTTCATGTTACCTTTTTTCAGTTTCACCAAACCAGTATCACCCCATGAACATGTGCACACCATACATGCGCATAAAATAACTCATCCCCAATGAGTGCAGGGAACGGGTTCCAGCCTCTTGCGAGCGAGTTGGCGTCGTTGGCGCTTATTTTTCACAGAAAGGATAAGGGATCAAATCCTAGTTGATTCCGTTCTCCAATTATCCAATTCCGAAAATAAACGCTTTCTAACATTTCATTTCTGTTGACAAATACCTGGACAACTTTCAGCCAGAACACTTAAATTCACTCCCTCATGCTTGTTGGTCTGATCATCTTCGTGTTCCTTCCAAGAATTCGATGTCTAAAGAAAATGCACTAATTAGGGAAAGAAGCTGTGGAATAGCCTAAGCTAGCTGTTAATATATATAAAAAAATGTATCAAATGCATAATCTTTTTAAGATAGCATAATTATATCGTTTTTTATTGAATACATTTTCTTTTTTCTTCTAAAGGCACCGTTCCTATCACAACTCCATCCTTCCGGTTGTTTTAAATTGTTTCAAAATAATTTAATCTCGGATAATTGTAATTGATTATGCTTCCACGTTCTGTAAAAATTTGATTTTGATAAGTAAACGTTAAGCCAGCCTCTAAATTTTCTTAGATGTCGTTGTGGGGTCTTCATTTCAGGTAAGCTTCCTTTGGACTGCTCCCACATTACACCATGGATGATTTTGTTCGTATTTACTTGAAGGTGGAAGTGACATGAAGACTGATCAGTGATTGATCGATACGCAGAATTTCCTGTAAAATGTTGTCCGTTTTAAATAGCAAATTGTCCTTTATTGTGCTAGAACCAGTAAACAATCAGACCGACTCTAAACACCTACAATCATACAATATCGATCCACTGTAAAAGTACATTGCCAAGGATACCATATTTCGGAGGTTTTTTCTCGCATATTATGTGATTTTGTTGACGTCATGATGTCACACACTCGACCTAACATGACACATTACGTAACGCCACAATAACAATATCAAATTCACGCGTGACATCCTATGACATAGCCAACTATAACATGGCTCGTCTGTTTGCTACAATGCTAGAGTGGAAAGCTATCGATAAATCACTGGAGGCTAAAACTCTTCCAGAAATTTGATTGCTATGTTCACCTACTTGCATGCTTTACTGAGACGATACAAAATTCCATTAATTTAAATTAGAGTTGAATAATAACGATGCTTCACTGCGCTTTTCGCTATTTTCTTGAAAACAATCGGTGTTTATAATATATCGTGGGTTTTAAATTTATTTATTTTGAATATACAAAAATATTTCTCGTTAGTTATTCATATTCCGAGTACGATTTTCATCTCTGGAGCGATAACTCCTTCAAAGGAGGAGAGGAGAGGCACGTAGTGGGTGTTCACACCTGGTGTCCCATAGAGAGCAAGCCACGAGGTTATGTCCTTGGAAACAGCCTAACTGCAAGTGGGTCTGAAAAACACCAGTCTGATGTAGATTACCATGTTATAAAAAATGAATATGATATTACCAATGTTTCAAGGTTGGTTGGGAACAATGCCTCTACCCAAAAGGGAAAAGTAAACGGTCTTTTAGCTAACAATGCCAGAATTTTTGAAAAAGAGATTTTTTTAAAGGATGATTCCTACATGTACTAAACATTATGCTGAGAAGAATGTGCCAGGCTGAGTGTGGGGCCAAGGGTGACATGAGCAACCCCCATGTTTTACAATTACTCTATAAAATATCTTGGCTCCATCAGAGTGTCCAAGCCAATACAAAGTTATGTATGTCTCTCTTGGTATTCTAAGTAAAGAGCCACCCCTTCCCCAGACATTCATTGACACAAGGTGGACATATTGTCATGAAACTCTCCAGTGGTATCTTAAGTATGGAAAAGCTTGTTTACAGCTCGCTGAGAGTCTCCTTGAAAGATTGTCAAAATCAGATAGCCACCAGACTATTTGGCAAGATGTCATTAAGCTGAGCTCCAGTCCTATGATTCAAGTTGAAATCAAGTTTTTGTTTGAATTCCTCGATAAGTTTATCATCCCATCTCTAAATACATCCCAGGCTAGTGATGCAGAACTTGGATTCTCCAGTGGTTACCTAGCAAGGTTATGGCCAGCAACAGTTCTAAAGCACCATGAAACTTTAAGCAAAACGCTGATGTCTCCTACAGAATATTTTCCTTTAACATCACAACAGGTGAAGATGTCACTGAAGGACCCAGCAGCTATTAACCTTTTTCACAAACAAGTGCAGAGGCCAATGTTACAAGAAGCAATTAAAGTAATCAAAGATCATGGAGCAGAGTTGTTAACTTTTCCTAAGTTGTTTGGAATGGGAGCTGATCAGAGATACCAAAGTCCTTTCTGGCATTTGGTTTTAAAGCTTCTTGAAATTCCAGTCAGATCTGAAAATCAACAAGAAAAGTCAGTGAACAATCCCTTTCATATACATGGACAGAACATTCTCACATTGGTGTCTAAGGACAGAGTTGGATTAATTGCTCAATGAGATCAAAGAAATTGCTTCATCACCACAGAGCTCACTCATAAGTAAAGAAGCCACTCCAAACCTGTTTGAGTTCTATGCCAAGCACATTTTCAGTCTTCCACTTAACAATGTTCTTGCTGAAAGACAGTTCAACCTTTCTCAATTGCACCTTAATGATAACAAGTCAGAGTTATCAAACCAGGCCACAATCACATTTGTTAAAGACATTCCGCATAGTGGAAAAACCAACACCAGGACCACACAAGTGGCAAGTGAAGTTCATGAAGAAAGAATGAAAGAATATACCCAAATGCTCACCACAGACATTTTGCAAGAGGCAAGAAAGAACTTAAACAAGATTAGAGAAAACTGCAAACATGGGCCACTTACAGCAAATGATGTTTACCCTAAAGCTTGGGTAGAAAAGAAAGTAAACAATAACTTACCAGAAATGATTAAGTCACTAAAAGCAGATAGTCGCAAACTTAAACTTCACTGGAAGGCTTCTGCCAAGGGAACATCTGCACTGGAGGGACAGAGGTCATTCAACCCAGAGTAATTTAGGAAGTTACCAGTACACCTGATGGACAAGTTCCAAGATTCATGCAGCTAGGGGCACTAAAGGTGTGGAACTATGGGGAGGAGCTACCAATTTATGATCTACCAAGAGAATGCAAGTTGTGTCTACAAAATCTTACAAATGTCTTTCAGCCTCTAACTACTCATCTTTCCATGTCCGACATGTCTGTACATGTTACACCTTTGCCTGCACATGAAGAATAGAGTAGTCATGAGGGGTGGCTCAGTAATTTTTAAATGTTTCAGATTTTTACATATAAGAATTGATTTCACCGACCCACACTGCATGAAATAAATATATCTCAGCGTGTATGTGTTTTTACACACAGAGACACATCTAATAATTGATTAATGTTTCAACACAACATGTTAGAACTAACCTGGTAAAAGCACATTGTATATGCCATGTTAGTAAAGTGAAAAAAGCTTAATATCTTAGTATATGTACATGTAGCATGTTAGCTTTTTGGTTTGCAATATTGCAACTGGTTTTACAGGGTAAAGTAAAGTGCAAGGTACCAAAGTTGAGACATGCATGTACAATCATGTTGTATTGGATCTTGAATTAAATGAATTGAATATTAAATTCAAAATGCACAGTAGGTATACAAAGCTGTAATGTATCTGATTTAAATTGTTATGTATGACTGTAGCTTTGTAGAATATTGAACTAACACTGAATTGCTGTCACTTAATTTCAGAAGTTTAAGAACATAATAAATGTAATATTTAACTAAATGTAGATTATATCATTATACTGTTGCACATGTATAACTTAACATATCACTAGCAGTATGTAACTTTTGATGTGATAAGAACATGTCTTATGAATAAGTGTTCTTGTACAATAAGCATAAATTTTGCACAGGAAGGGCAAAGCAAAGTGATGTAGCCAATGCTATATTACATATATTTAGTGTACAGTGATTAACAGTAATAAATTAGAGTGGAACACTGGATCTGTTAAAAATGTGCCAAGTTTATTATCCTGTCTTTCCTTATTCTGTGTAAAAGATAAGTAATACCATTCTGATCTGTAATGAATCCTCTCTCCCCTTTAAACGTTTTTCTTCTACTATTAAATATATCTACATCAATGGAATTTTTCTCACATATACAGGCAACTTGCAATGTCCACTTCAACAACCTACCTTTACCTTTACCTATACTAATTATTGAATATGCAGTGTGGTCAAAAAAGAATCAGTGTATTGGTCAATCCTCCACATTCAAAGCGCCCAAAAGAAATGAGCATTAATTTGACAATCGATACCAGTCAAACATCATCTCCGTAATCCGTTGTAAGTACCAACGAGTACCTGAGAAATGATTGATAAATTGTTCTTGGTTCCTGTTGACGATTAAACCGGAGTTCACTCTCGATCTCGAGTGGGCGATATTGAAAGTAGGCTAATTGACCCTTTATCACCAACACACCCCAAGATAGGGGTGACAAGATAACTTAATTTATATTCTTACCTCGTGAATTGTGAGCTTGCTGTACTTTCGAACTGCTCTGAGTACATTACATCAGTCAATATATTTCACCACGCGCAACGAACGACAAAACAGTACGAAAAATTAGAATTTCAACCACTTAGTCGACGAAAAGGAAAAAAATAAAACGGTAGAATCTTCAACTTCCTCGCAGTCTTCCCGGTTTATGTGTCAAACTACCAGAGACTTCGTGTTTTGATAAGATATTCAACGGTAAAGTCTTAAGAGTGTTAAGGAGAGAAGTAAACACTGGAGAGGGCCTACTCTGCGCATATCTGAAATTTCCCTTAACTCACGTGCATACGCTGTTCCCTGAGGCCTAAAAGTAAACAAATGCTTAGTCATCCTCTTCATCGGAGAAGGACTGAGTACCACAAAGAGTACTATGAAGTTTTATAGGGGAGGGGTAGGAGAGGTTGTCAAATTATATATAGTTTTAACAGATATGTGTTGAAAAAAATCAATTAAATTTCACATTTATTTTAAGCATTCTTAAAATTTTCAGTCTTTTTGCCAAAAATTGTTATCTCTTTTGGATTAGATATAGAATCAAAGGTATTGCTCAAATCTGCCAGCTCACCCTACCCTACTGGAAATTAAACTTGAACATGACATAACCTGTTGCAACACTTCTCCAGTACATTACAGCCGGTTAAGGAAATGAGAATGGCGCAGTATTTTATTCTTGGGCTCTGTCTCCTTTTACAATTAGATTCAACGAGCTCTTTGCGAGCGAGTGCGGTTCGTGAACTGAGTGGATTGTATTCGAATACGAAGCACTACTCATCATCGCTGAATGCTGGCACGGACGCCACCGTACTTCCCAAAATCTCTTCAGCATGTCAGAAAGCTTTATCTGGTATCCGCAAGCAAGGGTTGACTGGAAAATGTAAGTGATAAAATGTTTTGCCATTTTCTACACACGTAAGATATTGGGAAGATCGCATTCATCAAGAAAGCTGAAAGGTACTCTGCCAGAGTAAATTTAAGATCGTTGCAAACGTATTTGAAAGGTAGCTTAGTAAGTAACAATGACTTATTTCGTAACTGCAATTGAAATTGTCCCTTAAAAAACCGGTCAAGGGGACAATTTGTCCCCTTCAAAATTTAGGGAAAAGACTCGAAAGGAAGCACACGTGAAGAGTTTTATCTCGGTACAGAAATTGCAAGCTAAAACAGAACGTGGAAAGTATATTTCCTTGCAGGTTTAAAGTTCATTCTAAAGTCACGTTTCAGTCACACTTTACTGAACACGTACGTCTCATGCTCAACCAAGCGTGGCAATCTTTACTACGCTTTTCACAAACATGCGAACTCAAAAGTTCAAAAGCCGCCTTCACAATTACGTTTTTCGCTGCCCTCAATCATAATTACGATCACAAGCAACGAACCTTGAAACACAGAAACACACGAAACGGATTGAAATCCACCAATGACAAATCACAAACCATGACCTTTTGAACCCGTGAAAATAAAATTTTGTTTCCTAAGAGTTCCGTTAAGATGATTGACGGCAGCGACAAAACCCAATCGTCAGTTGGCTTTTGAACCTCAAAATTCGCATGATTGTGAAAAGCGCAGTAACATGTCACATCAAAAACGTGTTCGAATATTAGAAAGCTTTTTCGCTCGGAATCGAAGCCAGAGTGAATCAGAGAAAAATGATACAGAAGAAGAACAGTGTATTAATCAGGAAGAAACGAATGAGGATCGAAGGAAACAGAAAAAATCATGAACTTTCCTGAAAACTTGGTTGCGAGATCACACATGGTTGCGCTATGAAAAAGAGGCGATGTTCTGCTATTTTTGTTGGAAATCTAAGAAGACAAACCCCTTTGCAACGGCAGAAGGGTGTACAAATTTTAGAACCTCAACTCTGCAGCAACTTTTTTCTACAGCCCTTGATGTTTGGGCTAGAACCAACTGAAGAATTAGTACATTTACGTTTACCAGTGATTAAGAAAGGAATTGAAGTTTACGAGGCGATGCCGGATCGAGATTCTGCTGTGTAATGTTTTGAAGTATAAAGCATAGTCATTGATCCTCTGTTTAAATATGACGAGAAAAAGAAATTTGACATCAGTAACATAACTTTTCTTTTTTGTATCACTTTTCTTGTATTACAAGTCTTACAAATTACAAGTCTTACAAGGATCAGGTAAAAAAAATGTTTTGTCGGCTTGCCTGTATGAATGTAAAAAAAGAAAATGTTGAATAAAAATTAATTTGTCTGTCCCCCTAAAAATGAAAATGTCCTCCAAAAGTTTTGCTAAGGGGACAAATTGTCCCCCAGTGATCAAATACTAGTTCAAACCCTGAGTTTAACTCCCACTAATATGGGAAACTCTTTGGTATCGTTTTACTGAGTGGATTGAGCTTTGTAGCGTTTTTTCCGATACAGTTTGGAGTCTTTGAAGACTTTTCAAAGCTTCCGGCAGAAAAAGCAAGTCTTCGGAATCCCGCGATATTTAACTAAAACAAAAACACAGCATAGTGACCTTGGAGCTGGCATACGATCATGGTTTGTCCAGTTTAATCCCTGCTTATGATATGAAATCCTACCCACCAATTGCCATATATTTCTTGTAATTCCAACTCAAAGAATACAGTGTCAAATCGAACACTATCCTCCGAGTTGATAATTTACATGTACTTTCTTCTCGTTGTCTTCCTGTATGACAATTTATTGCAAATATATGGAGAAATTCCCTTTTGGCCACTCCTGGTAGTGGCAGGGCTGTTAAGCCTACTTGTATGGTCCAGAATCAGTACCCTATCATATTTTGTTCACAAGTTAGTACTTCCAAGAAACTAGGAAACTAGGCAACACAAACACCAATTCTAAAAGCCAGTTATAAACCTATTCAGGTGGCTGGTAGGTGGAAAGGTGAATTTTTTACACTTGTATTTTTCTGCTGGCTTTTTCTCTTTTCGACAGAAATAATCAGAGGACAAATATTGACAGAAGTGGGGGTTGTTATGTTAAAAATGCAAATACATTAAAAATGCCAATACGTGAAAAATGCATGTGTGAAAGCAAAATGGGATGTAAAATAGCCATTACTATCAAGCAAAGATTAATGGGTGAATTATAATACCTGGTACAGTATGCCTGATATTTATTCTTCATTGTCAGATATTGATGCAACGGGGAGACCAAACAGTGGTCTTACCCTGGGTAACCTGGTATGGCTTGGGTCTTATGCAAGATGCAAAACTATTCCTGGAGCACACTACTGCCTAGCCCCAAGTGTCACTTTCACAATAAATTCTGGAGGAAATATTACAAAAATCCCGGTAAACAAACAACTTGTTTGTGCTATAGATAATGAATTAATGACAAATATCATTTCTCTTACTAGCTAACTCTTGATTTTTATGGCTGGGTTACACGTAGTATGGAGAAAACCTGTTCTGATTGTAGTGTGGGTCCATTAACCCACAACTCTCTCACCCCCAGGATCCTATTAGTAATTTTCTTACTATCTACCGTGCAATTCTGATGATGTTAGTTTAGAGAATTTGGTATTAGATCAACTGATATTCCCCTTAGTGCTAACTTTCTCCTTGTTCATCTCTTGTATGCTTGACATTGTATTAACATTGTAAGGAGATATTCTAGCTTGGTTGCTCATGAGAGCTAAAGGGTTAGACTCCCAAGATCTGATTGCCAACTATCCCCTCTAGCAGCTACACATTTTTAATGCAAATTAGTCACAAGAATTTGGTGTTTGCTCAAAGATAAAGCTTTTATGTCAGTTTGAGTTTTCTCATTTTCTCAGTACTTATCATTACCCCATCTGAAAAACAGTTATAGGATATTCTTGCCTTCCAATAATACCCGCCATCTTCAATGCCCTCCATCTTTTCTACCTAAGGAAGACTTAAGAGTATCAATGTAATATGCAACAAAAGAATTTTAAGGATGCCAGAATCTCTAGGAGAAAATTAAGTTGTAGAATTTCACCTATACATGAAACTCAATCTCAACTCCTTGTTAAGCAAAGTCTGTTGTATCTATGAGAAGAACTTTATATTGTGTTGAGTGGCTGCAGTATATGATGTTCTGTTTCTGGTTTAATAGTATGTCTCCTGGGGCCTTTGTGTTCCGTCTGCCTGTACTGAGGAGGATATTGCCTTGGGTATTGGCATCATTACCAAAGGTTAGTTCTATATCCTTACTTTGGGTATACATACACTTGTGGAATATGTTGGAAAACCTTTTAAATCATGAACTAAAAGCTATTATAAACAGACAACTTTACTTTTGACTGTTGCTCTCATGGCTAAAAACTGCAGAAAAACCCCTCTCTTCCAGTTCCAGAGAGTAAAATCATCCTTCAAAGACAGTTTTTTTAATCTTTATAAACTTAAGTATAGAAATATAAGTTAATGTGGATTAAACATGATGAGATACAGAAAAAAAATTCTCGCTATCCTTTTTTAGATAGAGATAACAAACTTAATCTAATGAATGTGGATTTTAACTGTGACAACTACTGTATCCTCATCTACTGCAACCATTTTGAATCAGTAATTGGAACCCAGGGACAGCCAATCAAGAAAAAATTGGAACCAGGAACAAACTCAACTCACATGTAACACTAGGTCAGAGTTTTGAACCTGGCTAACCCCTCTGGAAACAAAAGTTTACTATACCAGATTATTGCATCACACAAAGGAGAAAACATTCCTAAAATTTTTGATTTGGGTCCTCAGCTTGTACTGGGTGTCCTGCATATACAGGGGCAATTTTCATGGATACAAATTGCCTTGTTTTCATTTTTATTAATGAAAATAGTATCACTTCTCATGTACTGTTATTTTTTGTTTTCTAGTTGTGTCACAATATCTGCCCCATCTGCCCAATTTCCCTACGGGGAACATCACCTTGGATGGTGTATTCTGTGCTCACAAATCCAAGTGGACTACTGGAGCCATAATAACTCTGTAAGTTCTGCACATTTAAATACTTGTATTTGAAGATAATTAAAATTTTGCTTCTATAAGACCTATCTTGTTCATGTCAAGACAATAGTTCAAAAATATGTAAAAGTAATGGCCAGCAGTAAGTTTAATTTCAAAATTTATCATCCAAACGGGAGAGAATCATAGTTCACAGGCTTTTTCTAGGAATTTTTCAACGAATTTTTTGCCGGTAGTATTGATTTCTAAATGTATTTGTTGTTGATATCATAAAAATTGTTTTTAGTCAGATCTTGGATCTTTATGAAGCTAATTCAGTAATCCTGCTGCTTTCTTGTATTAGTGTACTCTGCATTATCATAGCAGCCTTGTGTTTGGTGGGAACTTTGGTC